GTTGGTTTTCGACTTGGTCGAAAAACAACTCTCTTTCTAACTCTTCTCTTGACCATATCTCTCGACATAATCAAAAAAACCTTAATATAATGAATGTCTACGAAATGATTTTAACCCACGCAATTGTTGATCTACCAATCAAATCGTGAATTTGATAACGTAAAAATAAACGTTAATATAAAACATTGATTCATTTTGTCAACAATCACTTCACCAATAGTTGTTTTGTTAACAAATGGTTCGAATTTAAGAAGTTGGAAGCAACCATTTGAAATAGTCTAATAAATTAAAATCGTACTACTCGAAAATGTATTTAAAGGGTTGGTTTTCGACTTGGTTGAAGAATAACTCTCTTCCTAACTCTTCTCTTGACCATATCTCTCGATATAATCAAAATAACCTTAATATAACGAATGCAAAATGATTGTAAACGCGACCAATTTAAGATATACGATCAAGACAAAACATGAACGACGTATGAAAAAATCAAACAAATTTATTTAACAAAACAAAATTTGTAAAAAAATTTTTTTTTTGTATGTAATAAAATTCCATTATTAACTATTAACAATCTAATTGTATAGATCTTGACCGATCAAACCCGCCTATATAATTATTAAATAATTGATAAGCATTCATTTTGCAGACTTCATAGATCTTGATTAACATTCATTTCGATCAAACCCGCCTATATAATTATTTGATAATTGATAATAATAAAACGTTAATTAAATACATTTTATCAAACAGCTTCATAGATCTCGACTACTTTAATACTTACTTCGATCAAACCCGCCTATATAATTATTGAATAATTGATAATAATAAAACGTTAATTAAATACATTTTACAAACAGCTTCATAGATCTCGACTTTAAGACTTACTTTGATCAAACCCGCCTATAATAATAAACGTTCGTTTTGGAAACTTGATTTGCAAATAGATCTTGACTTTAACACTTGCTTCGACCAGGCCCGCCTATATAATTATTTGAATAATTGATAAAGCGCTCATTAAATATATTATGCAACCAGATTCATAGATCTTGACTTTTAACACTTATTTAGATACAAGCTATTCAATAATTGATCAGTATATTTTACAAACTTGCTTTGGCAGCTTCGTATGTTGTCATACATCTTGTATTTAACAGTCTACTTTTGAATTTTTTTTTTAGATTACACAATAAAAATTGTGGAATAAATTTAATCCAATGAAATGGTTAGTATCCCATATTTTGCACAACTTGAAAAAAAGTTGATATATAAGTCATAGAATTGGTTTAATAGTATCGGTCAGGGAAAAGTCATGCAATGATGAAGTACCATGTAAGACCATCCTGTGTCTGGCTCCCTTAGGTGCAATGCCTCACTTTGGACTGGCTGTAAAGTCCCGCGTGTTAAGGAGGTGGCACTGACGCGGGTGGCTCATGTTGGGTGTTGACCCCTCGTGACATGACCCTCCTTTTTGTTAATTTTTATTATTTATTTTATTTAGTTAAGGAAACATTTTTAAAAAATTAAAAAAAGATAAATTTCGCTAATTGGTTACATTTGTAATATATGAAGATCCATCAATCAATAATATTATAATTCAGTAATTAGTAGCAACGACAACAACGAATGATCATTTTTTGAGGATGATAAGATCCAGTTTGTATAGGAGTGATCGAAGTAAGCATTAAGGACAAGATTTATGAAGCTTTCAAAATATTCTAACAAACGTTTTATCAATTATTCAATAGTTTATACAAGCATTAAGGACAAGATCTATAACAAATATTCTAATGACGTTTTATTAATTATTTAATAGTTTGTATAGGAGTAATCAAAGTAAGTTTTAAGGACAAGATCTATGAATAAGATCTATGAACAAAATATACTAACGACGTTTTATTAATTATTCAATAGTTTATGTAGGAGTAATTGAAGTAAGTTTTAAGGACAAGATCTATAACAAAATATTCTAACGATGTTTTATTAATTATTCAATAGTTAATGCAGGAGTAATCGAAGTAAACGTTAAGGACAAGTCTGAACAAAATATACTAACGAACATTTTATTAATTATTCAATAGTTTATGTAGGAGTAATCGAAGTAAATGTTAAGGACAAGTCTATGAACAAAATATACTAACGAAGGTTTTATCAATTATTTAATAGTTTATGTAGGAGTAATCAAAGTAAGTTTTAAGGACAAGATCTATAATAAAATATTCTAATGATGTTTTATTAATTATTCAATAGTTTATGTAGGAGTAATCGAAGTAAACGTTAAGGACAAGATCTATAACAAAATATTCTAACAACATTTTATTAATTATTCAATAGTTTATGTAGGAGTAATCGAAGTAAACGTTAAGGACAAGTCTATGGACAAAATATACTAACGAAGGTTTTATCAATCATTCAATAGTTTATGTAGGAGTAATTGAAGTAAGTTTTAAGGACAAGATCTATGAACAAGATCTATGAACAAAATATTCTAACGACGTTTTATTAATTATTCAATAGTTTATGTAGGAGTAATCGAAGTAAGTTTTAAGGACAAGATCTATGAACAAAATATTCTAACAAACGTTCTATTAATTATTCAATAGTTTTATGTAGAAGTAATCGAAGTAAGTTTTAAGGACAAGATCTATGAACAAAATATTCTAAAAAACGTTTTATTAATTATTAAATAGTTTTATGTAGAAGTAATCAAAGTAAGTTTTAAGGACAAGCAAGATCTATCTAGCTTGCACACATTCTAACAAACGTTTATCAATTAATTAATAGTTTGTGTAGGAGTAATCGAAGTAAGCTTTAAGGACAAGATCTATGAACAAATTATACTAACGAAGGTTTTATCAATCATTCAATAGTTTATATAAATTTCTCTTTTATTTTAACTTATATTTAATAACATCACTATAATCATTATTGTTGTTTATTGTTCTGATCATCATTTACATATGTGTATAGGAATAAATGTAAAAGAAAAATTTATTGTATACTCTTCGAGTTAGAAAGTAATTGGTAACAATAATTAATTGTTGATTTTAAAATTTTTTAAACCCAAAGTAGGTTTTCGCCAAATTCCTTTATATTGCAAATTAAAAGATGCGCAAAAATTTTGAAAAAAGTACAATAAACAAACACATTTCTAATTGTTTAATAAATCAGGTATATTTTATACTCTTTCGAGTTAGCAAGTGATCGGTAAAAATAAACAATTTGATTTTAAAATTATCAAATCTAAAAAAATAAACAAAAAAATAAATTTTATTATTATTGTTTTTTTAAAAAACAAGTTTATAGCCAAAAATTGACAAAAATTAAAAAGTATTTATTTATTTATTTAACACGATATTATTATTAAAGTATACTTTTGTAATTAAAGCACAAAATTCGTCTGATAGCTTGATTGTAAGGTTTCTGGTCTAATATACCTACCTCTATATAAAAACGTTGAAAAACCCAATCGACAAAATGGTTTGAGCTTTGAGAAACAGTTTGAGCTAGAAACCTTACTTTGATTGTCAGACCCATTTAATCATACGATTTTAATAATATCAAAAACTAATGTTCAATTTAATGATTTAGCATAACATATGCATTGTACTGTTTAGTATCCTACTACTACCATTTAATTTATTTATTATTAGTATAATTTGCATTTGTATGATTGTAATTAAGAAAGAAATTTGATATTATACATTCCTGATGGAATTCAGAAAATTCAGCTAAAATCAGAGTGCTAATTAGTTTGCAAGTATACGAATGACTCAAATTTATGCATCATGAAAGGAATATTACCAATTTGTCTGATCCACACACTCTACTAAAAAACAATAATTATTATCAATACTAAAATATTCAATGTCAATATTGTTGCCATCACTATCATCACCTCATTTATCATTAGTACGATACATAAGCCGACGAAATGAACTTTCGACAAAATGAACTTTCGACAAAATGAACTTTCGATGAAATGAACTTTCGACGAAGTGATTGTCGACGAAGTGATTGTCGACGAAGTGGTTTGTTGACGAAATAATTTTCGACGAAGTAAACGGGACCGACTTTCTTTTGACTTTACAAGTTTTATTGAAATAACCTTCTAACAATATTATAATCTAAAAGGATTTTTGTATTATGTATTTGTTTGACAACATGTATATTACAGTTAGAATGACTAGTGAGTCGCAGGTTTGTGTATGGTGTCTTCAACAGGCTAGGCTTGCACGATCCATGGAGTCATTAATGTCGAGATAATTAGTGTCAAAGTACAGGGTGCTGTTGAGTGTGTCAACCCATCATCATGTATTTCATTCAAATATGGCTACACTATAAATAAAGTCTCAGGACCCTTATTCAGCATCAAGATTGCTCTCAACTTCTCATTCCACTTTACCGCCCTATACACCTACTCCATTAACACCAGTCAATATATACTGGACAACACATACTTCTTCGATACACTCTCAATAGTCTCTCCTAATTGGGAAGATTTAACGAAATAACTTGTGATTCGTTTTGCCACTTGTTACTGATGGAATTTAATATAATTTTGAACTGAAACAAATTGCAATAAATATTTTTAAATTCGAAAAAATATTTTCATCGTTTATCAATAGCTTTGTAAGCTATCATTTTAATATCTTAAAATCGTCACAAGGAATCCGTTCAGGATATCTTTGATTATCATATTCAAATTGTGCAGTCGTCAAATTTTCATCACAGCTAGATCGTGATAATTGGGATCGCATGTTTGACACCCATGAACAAAAAGTATTATATCTATTACAAGTAAAAAACATTCGCCATATTCTTTTCTCTTTTATAGGATTCGTAATTTAGAAATTTTGTTTTTTTTTCCAGTTGGATAAACCTTACCATCCGATTACTTATTATTATGTTCTTTTTTTTTGTCATTACTTCTGCAACCGTTACTTCAAGTGTTGTAATTAGACATCAGGTTTGTCGATCATTAGAACTCGATTTTTAAAAAAATGTCAAGTATTAATTCAGAACAAACTCATGATACTCAAAGTGAAAATAGTTTTGCCGAAGAATTTATTGAAGAGTAATTAGAAACTTGGTTATTAACCAATTTATTAATACTTTTTACTTTTGATAATAATTATAACAGTGATGCTAATAATAAAATTCTTAATAAAATAAAATTTGAAATAAGATCACCAAATAACTTGGATGAAGAAGATAATTTATTTTCAGAATCTTTAGAAGATGGAGAGGAAGAGGAAGAAGAAGAAATTAGCAATAATGGTTCCAAGTTCTCTAAATCTTCCAGAACTTTAGAATCAAAAAGTGTATCACCAAAAAATGCATTAGTTAGTAAATTAATTTATTGATGATGAAATTAAATCAATTGATGGTAATTTTTACGTTTTTATGTAGGCATATTCTATATTATGTGATTTGTTGGATGAGTGTACGCTAGACATTTTATTGGAAACTCATCGAGAAGCAAAATTAGCAGCTTCTGTATGTCAATTATGTAATACGGAGTAAGTTTTTATATGATTTATTGATTTATTGATTGATTGATTGATTGATTGATCAATTAATTAAATAAGAAATTTTGATAATATATAGATGTCGCTCATTTGGTAAGAAACAAAGATCAAGTTAAAAAAAAAAATCATGGACGAATTTGAATAAAATTCTTTGGATAATATTAAACTAATTAATATAGATTCCAACCAACACACAAACACACACACGTATTGTGTATATATACATACGTGATCAATTAGTTTCTCAACCAGGTTTAGATATTTTTGGAAATAACCCTCAGCCTAATAATTCGCCGCCAACTTTCGAATGTGTAAGTTGTCGACGTACTTTTCCATCAAAACGTTACGCACCACACTTGGAAAAATGTATGGGTCTTGCTGGTAGAAGTTCAAGTCGCGTTGCGAATCTTCGGTAAATGATTATTTTGTTGATTGATTGGCTGATTGAGCGTTGGCTTATTGATGATGACGATGTTGTTGTTGTTGTTGTTGTTGTTAGATTGGGTACCGATAGAAATCCTTCATCACCTTACACTCCTCCAATACTTTCTGAAGATAACCCAGAACCAAGTGATTCTGATGGTGGTTTATATGTTGAAAATAAAAGTAATAAAAAGTTATTAGTTTATTATTTCTGTGATTTGTTATTTATTTGATAGTGGATGTTTATAATAATATTCTAAATGGAATTGTTTTACAGGGAAAAAGAACAATGAAAAATCAAGAGTAAGAAATAATTTAATTACTTAATAAATTGGTTATTTAGTTAGTTGATTACAATTAATAATAAATTTTTATTGCTATTTGTTAAATTAGTCGTCATCACCTGCTAAACCTCCTAAACAAAAGAAACAAAAATTATCAAGTAAGAATAATGATGATAATAATAATAATGATGATATATTTGATTAAATATTTACTTACATATGATGTTCTGTTTATTTTTTATTTTTTTTAAGTGTCGGATTCAACGAATGAAACACCAAATCTAATTGGAACTAATGTTTCAAAGGTTTTTTTTTAGTATGATTTTAATAGCAATTGTTTTGAATTATTATTAATTTTATTTTCAAAATTGGAAAATTATTAGTTAAAAAGTAAGTATTTAATTCTACATTATTTAAAAAATAATTTTTACCAATTACCAGAATTAAAAATAATAATAATTTGTAGTGGCAGCGGCACAAAGGAAAAACTCGGTAAGATCAGACAGCCCAACACCATCATCAACATCCAATAGTCCACTTAGAAGTAGTTCACCATTGAAACGTGTAACAACATTACCATCTTCAAATACAATAAATGGGTATTTGTTTTTAAACCAATTTATTTGATATCTTTAAAAAAATTTTTTTTTTTTAATAATCCATTTATTTATTTAAAAAAATGAAAAATAGAAATAATAATTCTGATGAAAATTTAGAAGTATTATCATCAGTTGAAGAAGATTTTATTTAATTAATTTGTTAATTTAATTTTTGTTTATTTAAATTTATTTATTTGTTTGCTTTTTGTTGATATAGAGATATATATTAACGAGAGAAATTTTTAAAAAATTGTAATTTTTGATTTTAATTTATTTAAATATACAACGATCAAGGAATAGATAGATATAGTCAATCAGTCTTCAGGTGTCATTCATTAAATAATTAATTGGTGATTTATTTTTCTAGAAAAATATTCATTGGATTAATAATTCTTTTAGATTTCATTTCATCATTTAAATAATAAAGACGCAATTAATTACTTTGATTACACCTTGCAAAATACTAATATTCATTTATCTTTCATTTCATTTATTATCTTTCACTTTATTTTTTTTTTATACTTTCAAGATTAAAAAACAAATTAATCTGTTGGTATTCCATTAACATCATTTTCTTTTTCATCTTTTGATGCTTTGTTTTGCCAAAGACCATAACTTTTGCCTGGTGTTGTCTATCATTGTAATAATTATAATAATGACTTGTTTGTTAATTGATTTTAAAAAGTAAACACAGATTTTTTAAAAATTATAGATTTTAATTATTACCTGCCACAATCTTATAGTTCCATCCTCTTTTTTATTTAAATATAAAATAAAATTAATATATATTATTTAATAAAAATAATAATGAAAATATAATATAACATATAATATAATATATAAAAGATACAATACCTGAACCTGTAGCATAAATTTCTCCGTCAGGACTATAGCTTACTGTGTGAATTGGACCATGATGACCCTTATACACCTCTAATAATGGTTAAAATAATTAAAATGTAACATATACAGATATAAATAAATCACCATAAATATAAATAACATCATTATTGTTCATTATTATTATTATTATTATTTAATACTAACCAAGTTCTTTACCACTTTCAAAATCATAAATTCTCACCCATAAATCATTACTACCACCTGCAACAAATCTTTTATGATCGGGATGTAAAGATACTGAAGAAACATCATAGGCCGTTGCAATTGATTTTGCAACTCGATAACTAAAAACAATTTTTAAAGAAAAAATAAGTTTTTCTTTCATTGCTTCGGGAAAGGATATATTATTATTACATACGTTGCGGCATCAAGAAAATAGACAATTTTTCCAGCTGTACAAGTGATATATTTTCCATCGGCTGATAGCTCCATACTGGTGATAGGATGTTCTGTTTTAAATGAATTTGCTAAACTAAAATTGCGAAGATCCCAAACACTATATATATATATTACGCACATATATACAAATAGAAAAATACATGTATATAAAATTACGAGGGATTAAAAATAAGATTTCTTGAGTTATAACGCGTAATTCAACATTATCTCACCAGTAATTTTTTTCTCTCGCTCACCGAATTTCTTTGTCATCTCCAGCACTCAGCACCACATTTCTTTCGCCATCTACAATAACACTTTTAATAGTTGACTCATGTCCCTCTATTTCAACAATTACTTCATCAGGTTTATTAAGATCGTATAATCTTAACTTCTTTTCTTGTCCACCTGATACAATGCGTGTACCATCATCAGAAATGTCAGCTGAGCGTACAATATGCCCATGAGTAAAAGAAAATAAAACATCCCCGGTATATGTATCCCAAACTTTACTATATGCAAATATTTGTTTATTAATCAACCATTATAATTTTTACGAATTGTTGTTTTGACAGTAATTAATTAATACAATTAGTCAACTAATACACATACGCGGTAAAATCTGCAGAAGCTGTCACAGCTCTTGAAGCGTCTTTACTTAATTTAGCACTCCAGACAGCACCTTTATGACCCATGAATGTTCCTATCCAATCACCAGTTGGTCCATCTCGAAGCATTGGATTACCATCTTATTTATTAATGCCAAAATATATGCGTTATTATGTTATCAATATATTCATAAACATATATTTTGTAAGAAGAATAAATATAAAAATACCTTTACAAGCACTTATTAAATAATAAGTTCCATCAGTAATAGGTGAAAATTGTAAATGAACAACAGGACGAGTATGTCCAGAACAAGTTAAGGGTATAACCCTTGAAGGATTTGTATTTGGAGGTTGTGAAGTTGTCATATTTGTTTATTTTTATTTAATATTTATTTATGTATATATGTGTTTGTTCAAAATAATTTGTATTATATAATATGTGAATTGAAGTAAGTTTTATAATCAAAAAAAAAAAAAAACAAAAAAAAGAATAAATTAAAAAAGCGAAAAAAACAATTTTTATTTTAATATTAAATAATTGTAGTAATAATTGCGTTAATTGTAATAATTATTGTAATTATATTGTGGTAGTAATTGGTAGATAATAGACGATAGTAATAGAAATTCGAAAAACTTCCTCTCTAAGAGAAGGAGAGAAGAAAGTTGACAAAAATTTTTACCAAAAAAATTTTTTTTAATATTTTAAATTTAGCTTTATATATTAATATAGATATATTAATTACACACATTCATTCACGTGTTTGATTCTGCCTGGAATTTTCTAAATACGTCCGTGAATTTTTTTATCTTTGTAAATCTCTCTTTTTTATTTTAACCATTAAATCAACAACCCTAGCAGCCATGGAGTAAACGGTTTTAATTGGTTTATCGGGATACACTAGCTCAATATCATTTCCATCTCTAAAAAACATCACAAGAAAAATTTTCATAAACAACATAGCAAAATGTCGGCCAGGACACATTCTAATTCCACCGCCAAACTGTAAGAAACTATTTTTTTCAATTCCTCTCCCACCATTATTATCACCATCTTTCAAGAATCTATCTGGGTAAAACTTTTCAGGGTTTTCCCAATGTTTCGGGTGCATATGTATACCGTGATAATAAGTATAGAATGCTGTGTGACCAGGAAATTCGTATCCATTTATTGTATCCTTGTTAGTGGATGTACGCATCAAGGCAGGTATTGCAGGACTTATTCTCGCGACTTCATGAATAAACGCTTCAAGAAATTTTAATTTTTCGAGATTTTCATAATTAATGGAATCTATGCTGGTTGAGTCTGGAGGAAAAGCCGATAAAATTTCATTGATTAGACGAGTTTTATATTCCGGATATTTACATAAATGATAAATTATAAAAGAAAGTGATGTTGGTGTCTACATTTTTTTTTTTTTGAGATGGGGAAATAATAACAATAATTTTATTTAGTGTTAATTTTAAGTGTTCAAAAACATTTTCCATAATAAAAATTTATCACTCACAGTGTCTTGGTTTGCAACAAATACTTCCAATACGATTTCACTGATTTCTTCATCAGTCATTGGCCTTGCATATCCATTATAAAGTTCGTCATCTTCACTGATATTCTTTCTTTCTAAATCTCTTTCAGTATTTATATTAATTAGACAAGTTAACATATCATTTCCAAAAGTTACATCATCGCTGCCATTCATTGTTTCAATTTCCTTTCTTCTCTCTTTAACAATTCCAAGCAAATGTTTTTTAAGCTTTGCGTTACTATTCAATAAACTATCATTAATAAATCTGATCGGTGTGTACAACCTGAGAAATTTTGGTACAAAATAAAAGAAAATTATTGATCCAACATATCTATGAAGCGATTCTACTATATTTTCACTTTCTTGCGAAGATTTATTAAGTTTACTATTAGTAGTGGGGGGGGGGGGGGTGGTAGGGGGGGGGGGGGGAGTGGGCGGGGGGGGGGGGGCGTGGTTCTGGAGTTTACCAAAACTGCATCATCGTCAATGACACTTTCACTAATCTTCCCTGACCAGAGAAGGCTGCTGGCACACTGGCCAAAAAGTTGTCTGCAACGATCCCACCTCTAGGGCAAGGATGGCTCTGTGACCAAGTTGTAACTCTGTTGATGAATTGTAGTGCCATGTAAATAT